AATCAAATTCAAGAAGTCTAGTTGAAAGGAACTTTAGGTCTAAGAAGAAGAGACATTGTAGCTTGTCTATAGACTACCCTGGTTTAATATGACTAATAAAAATTGATGGCCACAGTTCTAGTTTAAAAAGAGTGGTACTGTTTAGCTCTGCATTTTCATTATCTCCCTATGAAACTTGTAAACATAGTGCTCGTGTGTGCTTCAAAGTGCAAGAACCTCTGTAAGAGGAACATAAGCATGTTTTTTGTTGTTGTTTTCTTGTTTTTTTTTTTTAGTTTATTGGTACAGTCTAGGTATGCAATACAGTTACATTCATTACTGGGATCGTGTACCTTCACATGACAGGTCTTGGTTTTCATTTTTTCTCCTTGTCCCTGTCCTCCCTTCACCCCTCCTCCCCTCCCCATTTACAAACTCTATTTCCATTTTTACATTTTCTCTTTTCCCTTATTTCTTTCCCCTACCCTTCCCACTTTCCCTACAACTTTAGCCCTTTTCTTCCTATTTCACACTGTCAGTTATCCCATTAGGATCTTGTGTACTATTACAGTTTTTCACACTAGAGAAACGATTGGGTATTTACACATGTGTGACTTATTTATTTCACTTAGGAGTATATCCTCAACATGTATCCATTTTCCTATGAATGACTCTAATTTCTCATTCTTTATGGCTGAGTAGTATTCCATTTTATAGAAAAACCACATCTTCTTTATCCAGTTTCCAACGGATGGGCAAATGGGCTGTTTCAAGTTTTAGCTGTTCCAAACTGCGCCGCTATAAACATGGGTGCGCATATATCACTGTGGTATGATTCTTTTAATTCTTTTGGAAAGATACCCAACAGAAGGATGGCTGGGTCAAATGGAACCTCTAGTTCCAGCTCTTTGAGGTATCTCCATATTGATTTCCATAGTGTTTGCACCAGTCTGCACTCCCACCAACAATGGAGAAGGGTTCCTTTCTCCCCACAACCCCGCCAGCATTTGTTATTGTGTGATTTCTTGATAGCAGCCATTCTTTGTGGGGTGAGGTGGAATCTCAGTGTTGTTTTCATCTGTATCTCTTGAATGACCAGTGATGTGGAACATTTTGTCATATATTTACTTGCTGCTTTTACTTCTTTGTCTGAGAAATGTCTGTTCACTTCAGATGCCCATTTTTGAATTGGTTCTTTATATTTGGGGGTGCTGATTGTTTTGAGTTCTTTATAGATTCTAGATAATAGTCCTTTGTCTGAGGAGCAATTGATAAAAAATTTTTCCCACATTGTAGGCTGTCTGTTCTGTTGATGGTTTCTTTTGTAGTGCAGAAGCTTTTTAATGAGATGAGATCCCAGTTGTTGATTCTTTCTGCTAGTTCCCGTCCTACTGAGAATTTGTTCATAAAGTTTTCCTATGCCAGTGTCTTCAAGAGTTCTGCCTAACTTATCTTCCAGCGGGTGAGTTTCTGGAAAGTGGCTGTCTTGGACTTCAGATCTCCCTCAGCTGGCTGGGGCCAGATCTATTTGAGTAGCCGTGCCTTTTCCTGAGGGCACCATTGCTCATAGGCATGTTAATTACTAAACCTGTGAATCTAAGGATTGTTTAAAAACTTCTAACTGATGCATTAATAGAGAAATGGTTATTACATAATAATGAAAGAATAATTCCAATTTAGACTATATTAACAGATATTGTACAATTCACTCAACTCTTCTCTGAAAATTATATAAGAAAATATTGACAGAATAAAATCATTTTTAACATTTCTCGTAGCTGTGGCTCTTCTACATATGTATCTACCTATATATAGTGACAGAATATTATCTTTTCTTTCTAACCTGAACAACATATACAAATTGTTGTTTATAATTGGTATCCTAGAGACCTAGTGACATGTAGTTTTTCCTATGTGTTACAGTTTAGATCTGAAATGTCCTCCAAATGTATTCAAAAGTAGAGCTTTCAGAAAATGATTGGATCATGACAGCTCTAACTTTGTTAGTGGCTTAATCCATTAATGGATTAATAATTTAATAGCATTATTGGGAGGGATGAAGACTTAGGAGGTGGGACCTAGTTGAAGAATGAGTCATGGGGGGGGCAGGCCTCAGGGGTAGTATCTTACCCTTGGTCCCTTTCTCTCTGGTTCTTTTCCTCTCTCTTTGCTTCCTGGCTGTCTTGAGGTCAAAAACTTTCTTCCACCATACACTTCCACCATGATGTTCTGCCTTACTGCAGACCCACAGCAATGAAACCTGCCACCTTGGACTGAAATTGTGCTAAAATAAATCTTATTTTCTCAAAGTTAATTTTGTTAAGAATTTTGTCACAGTGAGAAAATGCTGACCACCACACTGTGTATACACTATACTTCTTCTGACAGGGAAGCAATCAGTAGAGCTCTAGCATCCTCCTTTGTATCGCTAGGGCCTAAGTCACATTTAAAAGCATATTGAAAATGGACTACCCTCATATAATAGCTGTGTCTCAGGCACTGAACTGGGGTACTTTTGTTATTACCTTGATTCATATAAAGATTCAAAGATGTAGAAAATTACAGATGAGGATACTATAGCACAGTACTTTTGCCTCTTAGTGTTGGCCTAGTAAAAGTCTCTTTAGTATTGAAAATCACTGCATATAATTTTAGGTTCTAGTATGTGATTATTGTTCTTTAAGGATAGTAAATATAAAATACCTAGATATTGGCAGTGACTTTTCATATGATCTTTAATTTCTGACTCATGGCATTCAAAACAGTTGTGGAATTGAATCGTATCATTTAAGCATCAGAAATCTGTTTTAGGTCCTAGCCATTTTGGGGGGTCGTGGAGACAAGGTCAACACTGAACTTGAACTCAAGGCAATCTTCCTGTCTCAGCCTCCCAAGGGAGGAGATAATTGGTGTGGGCCACCATGCCTGTCTTTCTTTTTTTAGGTCATGACCACATCTTTTGAAAGCTTCATAACTATAAAGGAAATGTAATAAATAGAAATTATTTACAACCATATTTGCAATTATTTTATAATTCTGAAGTTAATTGAAGATAAAATGTAGAAAATAATAACTTAGTTATTTTTGTGAGCTTTGCAGTACTTAATGTATATTTGGAAGTAGACTATAGTAATAACAGAAGTATATTGAAAACCCAAAGTGAGTCAGGTATTCTTGTGCATGCCTGTGATCCCATCACTCTGAGTCCAAGGCCAACCTTGGCTATGTAGTAAATTCAAGGCCAACTTGAACTATAGTGAGACCTTGACTCAAAAAACCAAAAGCATACTCAGCCAACTCCATGCAAAAAACCCTAAATTGATAATTTGGATGACTATATCTCACACACTTTTACTTTTCAGCCTACTGTGGGCACTCAGTAATTTTCATGTATAGTTAAATAGGCAGTACATGTTCAGAGTGGTACCTGATCTTGTTAAAAAAATAATCCTTACTCTTGGGAGGTGTCTAAGTAGATTCAAATCTTGATTCTGCTGGTGATGACCTGGAGCCACTGACTGAGTCCTGTCACTTTCCACTTTTTCCTATAATGGTACATAGTATTGCTAAGTGTTAGACATCTAGAGCTATTTTTGTTATCACTTATTAAGCTCCTGTAAAAAAATCAGGATCTTCCTCCTGCTTCAGCCTCTCAGCATGCTTGAATCACAGAATGGCGTCATCATCATCTCAAAAGAATCTAACGGAACCCAAAAACAGAAAAATAGAAGAAGGAAAAGTCTTCAGTGAAAAATGAATGAGTGCTTTTTTACTGAGAGAAATAAGGTACCCTGCTTATTTTTTAAAATCAGTTTGTCTCACTAGACTATAGCCAGATGATTTGAAGAAATGGGAAAAAAATCTACTGAAAAATATTTAAGAGTGAAGCTACTAATTTCAAACTTTATTCTTTGTCAATAGATGAAAGTGCTGATGTGATAGATATGATTCAACTTGCTGCTTTTAATTAGCAGTATTATAGATTATGAATATAGTATCACTGAAGAAATGCTTTCTTTGATGCCAATTAAAATACAGCTAAAGGCTGGAAATTTAGCTCAGTGGTGTCTTCGCCTGTCTCACATGCTTAAGGTCCCAAGTTCAATCCCCAGTACCAAAAACAAAAACAACAGCTAAATCTCTTCATTTGTATGAAGCAGTAAAAATAATAGTGACTTTCTTCAAACTTTGTTAACATATCTGGTGTAGCCATAGTGGTATTCTGTGATGGTTGGTAAAAAATGTGAAATAGGAAGAAAAGAGCTAAAGGTATAGGGCAAGTGTGAAGGGTAGGGGAAAGGAAATAAGGGAAAAGAAAAAAATATGCAAAAAATGAAAAATGGAAATAAAGTATTTGTAAATAGGGAAGGGAGGAGGGGGTAAAGGGAGGGCAGGGGCAAGGAGAAAAAACAAGAACCAAGACCTGTCATGTAAAGGTACAAGATCCCAATGGTGAATGTAACTGTACTGTATACCTAAAATGTACCAATAAACTCAATGAGGTAGAAAAAAAGAAAAAGAGGGTTTTAAACTGGGTGTGGTGGTGCACGCCTATAATCCCAGCACTCAGGAGGCTGAGGCAGGAGGATCACTGCAAGTTTAAGGCTAACCTGGGCTACATAATGAATTCAAGGCCAGCCTGAACTACAGAGTGAAACCTTATCTCAAAAAAGAAAAAAGGTATTTATAAATTAATAAGAGTTGATGCAGTTGTTTCTGGCAAGTCACATTTAATAAAATAGTGCTGCATCATACATCGAGGAAATTCATGTTTAAAAATGGATGTTATGGGAGGTAAGTGTGGTGGTGCACGCCTGTAATCCCAGTACTCAGTAGGCTGAGGCAGGAGAATCCTATGAGTTCAAATAGTGAGTTCAAGACTAGCCTGAACTGTGTAGAGAGACCCTGTCTCAAAAAAACAAGAAAAACATGTTATGCAAATCATCATCAAAGCTGTGAATTTCATGAGGTCCTAGGGATTGAATCACCAATTCCATGAGTTCCTTAAGAATAAGGATGCTTTGCTTACTTCAGCAGCACATATACTAAAACTGGAACGATACAGAGATTAGCATGGCCTCTGCGCGAGGATGACATGCAAACTCGCAAAGCGTTCTGTATTTACTTTTTATGCTTAATTGGGAATCATGTTCTGTGATCACACTAATGAATCAACAATAAATGTTCTGAAATGTTTAAACAAAAAGTAAGGATGATTATGGGGACATCAGTTTTTTGAAGTGAGGTGGCCAAGTTGAAGTAAAATGCTGAAAACATTTTGTGAATTGTGAAATGATACTATCATTTATGGAATCAAGGAAACTGAAGATTCCTCTCCAGTTTTGCATTTTTTTTTTATTTGGCTACTCATTTAAATGGTATAAATGTGTCATCAAGGTGAAAGTAAATTTATTTGTGCTATATTTCAATGCAGTGTCCAACACGGTGTACACTAGTATTGTGCAATACAGTGTACAAAATGGAGAGGGTAATGGGGAAAAGGGTGTAATGTAGCATGTACAGGCGCAAATTCCCAATGATGAGTGTTATTATTTATGCCTAAAATGTACCAATAAATATTTTACTATTTAAGAAAATCAGGATCTTGTTATGTAATACTTATTAAGTAGTGAGCTATTTCAGTAATTGTTACTATTCATGTACTTCATTTATACTTTATTTTGATTCTTCATATTTTTGAAACAGGAAAAAAATAAGTCTCTCAAAGGAGCCAAGTACCACACCTCCTTCATAATCTGTTTTATAAGTATTAAATTTTTTTTTTGTTGAGAAAGTCCTGTATATATAGTAGAAATCATTTTTAAATATGTAAATATTATCAAATGTCATACTTAAATGCATTTGTTGGTTTTATTATTAAGCTCTTTCTGGTAAAGGAGATAATGCTGGTGACTTGTTTGGATCAAAAAGATAAATTCTTGGGCTGGGGATTTCGCTCAGTGGTTTGGTGTCCTGCCTTGCAAGCACAAGGACCTGAGTTCAATCCCCGGTACCAAAAAAAAAAAGATAAATTCTCACTTTGCTAGTACTAATGATCAGGAACATCAAGAATAATTTTAATATAAGAGCATTCAAGTCATCTTTGTATTAAAAGATTCCAACTAGTGTTCTTTTCCAATTGCTTTTCTTAATTGTAATTATAAATAAACATTTAAAATTTCAGGGGGCCAAATGTCTTCTAAGAACCATTTAATGACTATAATAACCCATCCTAGAGGAGGGCATCTTTTTGTCTGGAAAATTTGTGCCTTTGTAAAAAGTGAGTGTCAAGTATATATAACAGCTACCCACAATGAATATAATCATTATATAAATGTACTAAAAGGGGGGATATATTTTATATTGTAGATATTTGGAGAAATAGTTATATAAAGTCTTTTTTGTAGTTCTTTTTTTTTTTTTAAGAATAAGCCTCTAATCCCAGCACTCTGAGGCAGGAGGATCCCAAGCTCATCCTGGGCAATTTAATAAGTCCTTGTCTCTAATTTATTAAAAGGTAGGAGGCAAGCCAGAGTTGTAGTTCAGTGTGAAGGACATGTGTTGCATCCTCAGTACTGGAATAAAAAAAAATTGTAATTTGCTTAAAAATAAATGAATAAATAATAAGAATGTACTTGTTGAACACAGCGAGGATGAATCTGGAAAGACATCTAAAAAAGAGAGATAAAACTAATGATAGATATTGACTGAAAAAAGAGATATAACTGTTGATAGATACTGACTTCTTCTGTATCTAATGTTAAACAGTTAATACTATTCAAATATTGATCTCTACCAAATGACTGACCATAGTATTTTTCTATAGATATTCATGTACTTTATTAATAAGTAATTCTTTTTGAGCCAGATATTTAAAGTGAATATTCTTCTTTTTAAAATATGCCCAGGGACACTCCTTTTTTAAAAAATTAAAATATTTTATTCTGGCCTTTCCAGGAATATACAAAGATAAGATAGTGGTTTGAACTGACTTAAAACTGGTTTCTTCAAATGAAATCTTACAGAAACAAATGGCTTTCACTGAAATGAGAATGTGAGGTTTCAGGGATCCACATATTCCACTGCTTCAGTTTTTCCTGTCTGATGCTCTTGAGGTGTCTCTCTGGCATCTTAAGCTTCTGAAGAGTACATTTTGGGAACTATGGAAATTTGAAGGAATTTGCAATTTGTAGGCCATATGGTATTCATTTGGCCATTAGATGACATGGCCTTGGGCTAGCCCTGAATCACTATAGTTGTTCACCAAGAATAGTTTTGTTGCACATAAAAGTTATTTAGGTCAATGTGTTTGTCTAATCAACACTGATAATTAGGCTTATGATATGGAGTCATTTCTAGTTTCCTTTGCGGTATTGAGAGAATTGGGCTAGGTCACATTAGAAGCCTAGCATTTACCAAGATATCATTCTTTCCTTCTTTT